ACACTGCTGAAGTCCTGCAGACTCGACCCCAGCTGCTAGATGACAGATTCCCGATCTGTCAACATCAAAATATCACCCAACTAATAATTGGGTTCCACTACATAATTATAATTACATACTTTGGATAATTACTACATTACCCTAAGCTTGGCTTACCCAATCCCAAGGTCCAAACCATAGGCCCAAAGTCAACTAGGGGTCAAAGCCCAAACCTCTACATGGACTTCCCTTAAGGCCCAATTGATCAGTCCAGTCCAACATGTATCATTCTAGGGCCCAATATCATACAACCATTTAGGCCCCAACTATGGCCCATCTATGGCCCAATTTTCCAAATTGGGCCCAATCCTTCATATGGGCCTTACCCTAAAGCCCAACTAATTACTCTAGTCCATTTGATTATTCTCGGATGGCCCAACACAAAGCCCAAGTGAAATTAGGGTTTCACATCAAATGATAACTAGGGTTAAGTGTTTCTTACTTAACCCACTAAGGACTTAACACACTAGGGACTTAATCCATTAAGGACCTAATCCATTAAGGGGGTGTTTGGATTATATTTTTAGCTTATTGCTTATAGCTTATTTGTGGTGGGAATAAGCAATAAGCAATAAGCATGGGGAGGGATGCTTATTAAAATTAGCTTATTTAGCCTAATAAGCCAGATTTTATCCAAACACTTAAATTATCTTATTGTGAGAATAAGCAATAAGCACCTCTTTTTTTCCTATCCAAACACCCCCTAAGTCCATTATTGCTTAGATTAATTTCTGCCAACTATTATTATTTAATATTTGACTTATTAAATAATTCTCGTGTGCATCCTGATAATTTCTCAACTATTAGATTTTCTCAATTAGCCCATTAAGGACTTAGTTCATTAAAACCTTTTACTCTACTAGATAAAGGGCATGGAATAATTTGGGCTTAATTCACAATCCAATCCCAATGGCCCACAAGTGGCCCAATTAGTCTAAGGCCCAATACACATAATTTGGGTTTTCCACCCAAACATGGTCCAATAGGCCCAAAACCAATCTCTAAGCCCATTAGGGTTTGCTAGCAGGGCACCACCCATTACCACCTCGGGTAGTGGTGGTCTACAGCGGCACACGGTGGTGGTTACTATTACTTTTATTATTCATGTTAATTACAATTACAAGGTTTTTATCCAAAAATAATACACACAACCACTAACATAAACTAACTACTACACATACAGCAACACCATGGTGGCCGGCGGTGGTGCTTGGCGGCAGCCACCACCTCACGGTGGTGGTGATGGCTTTTCCAGCTAACCAAACCACCGCAACCTTATGAAAATTAAACACAACTGATCTACTAGGTTAAACACCCATACACAAGCTCGTGGAGGTGGCTAGTGGTGTCAAAATTCGGCAGAAGGAAGGTTACACGGCGGCAACAAGGTAATGGCCACCATGGTGGTTCACACGTTTTTCCGGCCAACAGAGAGCATGAACACACCCACGAACCCGAGCTGAACAAGGGAAACACTCCCAATCACAACCACCTCACGGTGGCTCATGGCAGTCGAAGGGAAAAGCAATGAAACAACCTCCTTTGATGGTTGAACAAGCGGCGACGGCGGCTAGCTGCTGATTGACGAGCTCAGAAGCGAGGGATGGTCGGAACAACATCGGCAATGGCCGGGTGCGGCTGAGAATGGTGACCATCAATTAGAAGAGGAAGGGAATGGTGACAGAGAGATAGTTGTGGCGCACACAGCTTCGCCGACGGTTCCTGATGTCGCCGACAGTAAAACACGACGGTGGCGGTCATTAGCAAACAACGGCGGAAGATGGGCTACTCCGACTGTTCGGAACAGTGAACGAAGGTTGGGGTGGTGGCTGACTTCACACATGGCGGTTGGAAGCTAAACGAAAAGGAGAGGGTGACGGCTCCTTAAGAATGCTTGGGTTAGGGATTTGTAAAGCATATATACCCGACACATATAATTTTTTTGCCATAATGTCAAGAATAGTCCCTGCCCATAAAACTCTTTACAAGTTAAATCTGAAATTTACTAACAACCCCCCTTACTCCATAAAATCTCTTCAAACTAAGCCCCCAAAATTATCATTTAGCCCCTGCCTTCATAAATATTTACAAAATAAATCTAGAACTTACACTTTTAACCCCCAACTTCTAAAATTCTTCACAAATTAATCTGGAACTTACATACATGTAATATGCAAGCTATAATGTTCTTATATAGGCTAAATATTTCATTTAACCCATCAATTAAATAGCATGATTTGAAGAGTTTTGGAAGTTACAAATCATACCATTTCAATTAATCATAAAATAAATTATATAAGCTAAATAGTCTTTAGAGTTTCTAATGCATGAGGTTCAAGGAAAATTGTTTTGGAGGTTTCAAATTAATATGGTGCAAGAAAAAATGCATCATTTATAAGTACGTAAGATATATATATATATATATATATATATATATATATATATATATATATATATATATATATATATATATATATATATATATATATATACAGTGGCGGACCTTAGCGGTGCCCCAAGGGTCTCGGACCACTGCTCTGACGTCGGCACGTAGTGTAAAAAAAAATTAATGTTTTTTTTTATATTTTTTCTATTGGGTGCACCGGCTTAAAGCACGAGTGACACTACTAATATAGATTTATTTGGGAATTTTTTTTAATGTCACACCTACGAAAATGTTCTGCGTTCACCACTATAAATACACAAATTTATATATATATATATATATATATATATATATATATATATATATATATATATATATATATATATATATATATAAATTTGTGTATTTATATGTGTGTATGTATATACATGCAAGTGAATTGTGTATTTATATATAAACACTTAAACATACATGTATATATACACATATAATTCCACATACACAGATAAATAAATATACATACATAAATGCATACATATATATATATATATATATATATATATATATATATATATATATATATATATATATATATATATATATATATATATATATATATAAAATAACAACGATAAGTTACAATAATTATAGTAAAATTATTTAGGAATTCCATTAGCGATTTCCAAAGGAACTTTTCATTTTCCAACTTTTGCTGGCATTTTGTTTGTAAAATGTCGCAAATTTAGGAATTCCATTAGAAATGTGTTGGAAATTACCCACAAGCTGCTTCCATCGGATATTATTTTACAAAATACCAAATATTCTAGTTAGGGATGAGCACCTGAACCCGTTTGGGAACCGAACTTTGTGGAAAATAGGGACAGAACCCGACTGCCGGTTCTTGTCGCATCTTCAATGTTAGAACCGGTCTTCGAGAAATAGCAATATACGGTTCCAATTTTTGCCGGTTTTACTGTCGGTTCCTAATGGTTCCCGGTTCAAAAAATCTACAAGAATATCGTCCGTGTTCCGGATCGATCGCTTCTATCCGGTTCCGATCGGTTTACCGGTCCAAATGCTCATTCCTAATTCTAGTAGTGGTATATCGTGTTTAGATTCTTTATTTGAACAACTAATAACCCCTTTAACCAACTATAACTATTAATCGAAACCGGAACCAATTGTTTAACTTAATGGTTGGGTTATGGTTCGGTTTTGGTTCATAATCCAACCAAACTGACCCAACCGTACCCTCTTACAACTCATTTTATAACTCCTAAATTCAAATATTTTTGTTGTAATCAGTTTTAAGGTTCAAAATCATTTGTATGTGTATTTTATTCAAGTTCCTATGTACTTTGTTTACGGGCTCAGTGAGATCTTTCATTAGTGGACTTCACCAATTGACATTAGGTTTTAAACTCAAAACATATGAATAAACTCCAATCTCTATACCAATTAATAAGGGAATATGACTTATCGAGGTAATTAACTTTTCGGTATGTTCACATCTGGGTAACTATCTTTTTTTTGTATATATCTAGGTAACAAACTTTTTGGAAGTGTTCACATATGACCATTATGACCTGCTATAGCAGGTTAAATCCTAGATGTGAACGCTTCTAACAAGTTTGTTACCTAGATGTGTACAAATTAAATAGTTACCCAAATATGAACAAAACGAAAAGTAAAAATTAAATTACATGAAAGGTCCCTGTGGTTTGGGGGAATTTGTGGTTTTGGTCGCTAACTTATTTTTTTTAACTTAAATGGTCCTTACTGTTTATTTTTGTTGCGCGTTTGGTCCCCGTCTTACCTAAAAATGCTATTGTGCCCTTATTAATTTATTTTTTTTAATTAATTTTCTTATCTATGTATTTATTTTTTACATATTTAAAAAAATTAATAGACCACACATATTTGTATCTCTTCGGATGATCCCTACCATTTATTTTTTATTAATTTAATTTTTTAACTCGGATAGTCTCTACTATTTAATTTTATTACGAACTTACTTCTCTATCTTACTTAAAAAGACTATTGTGTATTTATTATTATTTTTTTAATTAATTTTCTTGTTTATGTACTTATGCTTTATATGTTTAAGAAAAATTAGTAGACCCCACATATCTGTATCTCTTCTAGTGATATCGACGTCTTCATCATCACTTCTTTTTCGGTCCTTCAACTCCGTCGAATCAACACCACAACCCACTAAAGATGAAGAGACAGTAGGTTATGGTGTTGGTTCGCCAGAGTTGAAGTACAAAAAAAAAGGACGGTGAAAACGTCGATGTTACTAAAGATGGAAAAGAAATAGAAGATGGGGAGGATCAGAGATGAGATGGTGAATGGTAAGACTCAAATTAAATTTCTCAAATGTGGTTTCAGGTTTACGGTGATGAGATGACAAAATTGCAAAAATGGTCCCTGTGTTTGGCAAAATTATGCGACTTTGGTCCAAAACGATAGTTTGATGCACCACTGGTCCAAAATTGGATTTTTCCATTGTTTTTGGTCCCTCCCATTCACTTCCGTCCATATACTCCGTTACATACAATAAAGACCGGGGTATTTTCGTCTTTCCACCTCTATATCATCAATTACCGCCATATTGAATGATATACACAGTTAATGACCCTTCACTCTACTCTACGCACTAAACCCAACTTGTTGATCGAAAACCCTAATCGTTCATTGAAATCTTGCATTTGATCATCAACCGCAATCGTAAGTTTGAATCCACGAGGATGGTCCAAATGTGGGAAATCAGGCCAAGAAATCAGTGTTTTGATGCAATCCGAATTTACGGTAACGTACTCTGTTTCTTACATATTTCTTTGAAACAAAAAAAAAATCTTTTACAATCCATATAAAGTAATGTTTTTTTGGTTTGGTTCATGATTTTTACAGAAGGATATCCCACGATGTTCACTATTGAGCTCCATCATGGAGGGAGGTTCACAAAATTCCCAGGGATAAGCTACATTGAAGGAAAATTAGACCACATTGACTTGGTAGACATGGATGAGTTCTCTGTGCATGAGTTGGACGAGGTGATGCTGAAGCTTGGTTATGATGTACCACCAGTCATTTACTACCACTATCAATTGCCAAATGGAGATTTGGAGTTTGGTCTTAGAGCTCTAGGGAATGATATTGATGTACTTAGTCTTGCACAGTACATTGAACATCATAAGATCATCAAGGTATACACTGAACATAATGAAACTAAGTTACTTACATACTTTATGTCTCCAAGAGTTAAACCTAGGGTCATAATTGAGGAAATAGCAGATGATGTGCCCACTGCAACTGTTGGTGATCAAGATGTCCCAAATCTTGAATTGTGTTTAGTAAGATATGAGACACCCGAATACAATTCAAATAAGAGATTGAGGTTAGTTGATGGGAGTCAATCATGTAGTAAGAAATTGTGTTTCAACTTGGAACACACTGCAACTGTTGGTGATCAAGATGCACATGTTGAAATTGGTAATGAAGGTGCAAATATTAGTGAGCAAGGTGCAACTGTTAGTGGTCAAGATACACATGTTGAAATTGGTAATGAAGGAGCAAATGTTAGTGATCAAGGTGCAGCTGTTGGTAATCAAGATACAGAAGTTCATGATCAAGGTGCAAATGTTGGTGACCAAGAAGTAAATACAAGAGAGTTTGATACCTTTGATGACCAACCATTTCAATTTGAAGACTTTGATCCTTTCTTTGATCAATATACTTTTAATGATGGTAATGATCAGAGTATGGGTGTTGGTGCAGAACTTGGCACAGGACTAGGGGAAGTTCAATTTGAAAGTGAGGGAGTTTGTAAAGGACTTGGTGAAGGAGGTAGTGAAGGGGGTAGTGAAGGGGGTAGTGAAGGGAGTGAGGAAAACAGTGATTTTCTTGAAGATGAAGAAAACTATGTAAGTGATATTGAGGTGGACATGAGTGATTTCTATATGAATGTTGATCTAGATGTTGAATATGTTGACAGAGGAAAAGGTGTTGAGACTGAAAATGAAGTTGTTGATACAGAAGATGTTGAAGATGTTGAAGTAATTGATAATGATGAATGGGACTCATTAGGTGAAGATAGTGATGATGAAAGAAGGAAAGCAATATTAAAACAGATGGTGAAGGAGAAGAAGTGCTCTCTTGGTGAAGTCCATACAGTTACTTTTCAAGTGGGTCAAAAGTATAAAAGTAAAAAGGAAATTAAGAACAAAGTCAACAAACTTGCCATTGAGACTAGAAGGAATCTTGGCTTCAAGAAAAACGACAAAACAAGGCTTAGGGTTGTGTGTAAAGGTAATGTACCTAATGTAAATGCAAGTGGGGTAGGTAAGGGCAATAAATTAAATTGTTCTTGGTCAATGCAGACTTCACGGTCAAAAGATAGTGATTATTGGTATGTGAAAACTTTACTGGACAAACATACTTGTGTTCAAACTAGAAAACTTAGGGCTTGCACTGCGAAGTATATATCTGCAGAAATCTTAGACATGGTCGAGTCTAACCCTACAGTACCCCTTCGAAGCATTCAAGAGCAAGTTCAGAAGAGGCTTCAAGTTGGTGTGTCCATACACAAAGTACAGAGAGCAAAAGCAACAGCTACAAAGCAAGTGAGTGGTGACTACACAAAGCAATACGAGGTGTTAAGAGATTATCTTATGGAACTACAAGCAACTAATGTGGGTACAACTGTGAAGCTTGAGGTTGTTAATGAGCCTAACAGTACTAGAGAAACAAGGCAGTTTAAAAGGGTGTATATTTGCTTAGGGGCATTAAAGAAAGGGTTTAAAGCAGGTTTAAGAGATATTCTGGGACTAGATGGTGCTTTTATGAAAGGACCCTTTCCAGGCCAAGTACTCACAGCAGTTGGATTGGATTCAAACAACGGCATATACCCACTTGCATATGCCATTGTTGAGACTGAAAATATGAGTAGCTGGAAATGGTTTCTAGAATGCTTGGGAGATGACTTAGAGTTGTGCTCAAATTCTAACTTTACTTTCATGAGTGATAGACAAAAGGTACTATTTTCTTCTTTTTGTATTACTAATAGTTTATTTGTATATGATTGTTGCAATGATTATGTGAAATAATCCTTTACAGGGACTCTTACCTGCTATAGCACAACTATACCCACAGGCTGAGCATCGATTCTGTCTAAGACATATTTATGAGAACATGAGGAAAAAATGGAAAACAAAAGAGTATAAAGATCACTTATGGCAGTGTGCAATAGCAACCACAGTACCAGAATTTGAACACTACATGAATGAACTTAACAAGTTTGATAAGGATGCTTTTGAGTGGTTGAAGAAAATCCCCCCTCACCATTGGGCCAGAAGCCACTTTTCAGGTTACATTCCCTAACTTAGGTGAAGCTTTACTAGTGCTCATTGTATATGGTTTAGTTCATATAATTTTCTTGTTTAATACAGGCAGAGCAGGATCAGATATATTGCTCAACAATTTATGTGAGGTTTTCAACAGTAAGCTTATTCATGGTAGGAATAAGCCCATCATAAGTTGTCTTGAGTACATCAGGCAGTACCTTATGAAGAGGATTTGCAATGTGAAGAAAGTGATGTCCAAAGCTCCAGGTCCACTCACTCCAACAGCATCAAAGTTACTTGAGAGAAATAGGGAAGCTTCAGTCCAATATAGAGCTAGATGGAATGGGACTGCAAAGTATGAAGTTTATGGTCCTTGGCATGACCAGCATGTGGTTGACATGAAAATATGTCATGTACATGTAGAAGGTGGGAATTGAATGGGATTCCATGCAGGCATGCCATAGCTACAATACATGAAATGGCTGATAGTGGAGACAAAGTTGGGAGCTTTACACTTATGTTAACAAAGTGTATTGGCTTCAAACATGGAATGAAGCTTACTCTTACACTGTGGACCCTATAAAGGGTAGAGCCATGTGGCCAAAAAGTACCTGTCCATTTCAATTAACACCACCACCACATCACAATCAACCTGGGAGACCTAACACCAAGAGAAAGAGAAGTGCAGATGAAAAATATGATAAACAGATGCAAAATCATGGTGCAGGTGAACCTGAAAAACTTACCAGAAAGTTTTTAGTGTTAGGTGTGGGAAATGCAACAATAGGGGTCATAACTCAAGGACGTGCAAGGGTCAAGGTGGGAATGCAGGAAGAAATGAAGGAGGGAATGCAGGAAGCAGTCAAGGAGGGAATGCATGATGCAGTCAAGGAGGGAATGGAGGTAGCAGTCAATGCAGGAATTAGTGTATTTTGTTTAAAAACTTATCTTTTGGTTTAGCACAACTTTTGTGCATTTGGATGTAATGGTTTAAAACTAGTTTGTTGTAATGGTTTTATTTTGGTCTTTTAGCCCTTTTGGTCATGAAACTAATGTCAACCTTTTGTCATTGTTGAAGAATGATGTTTATGGTTTATACCAACTGTTGGTTGTCATGTTTATGGAACACATTTTTGGTTATAAGAACTGTTTTCTGAAACAACAAATATACATTAACATTCGGTGATAACTGCAATACATTGTCATTATATCCTTGAAAAGGTTACAAATTTCTGAAGTTGTCCAAAATAACCCTAAACTGATATTACATTATCAAATACCAAAAACTACCACATTCCCTAGTTACAATTTCATAAGACAAAAAACACCCAAAAGTTACATGCAACTACAGGGGTCCCTAATTGCTTATTACTAAATGAAAAGCACCCAAACCACCACAAATAGTAACCAACTTGCAAACAAACACATCTTCAATCTTGCCACTTGATAGTTTACATTGTTGATATTCCTCAATAATCCGGGTATTATCAACATAGATCGTGCACACATGGGAGGATCAATCCATCCTAAGAATCGGCATCTGGAACCCTTCACATAAAAAAATAAACCCTAAACATGAGGGTGATTTTCCAAAATGAGGGTAAAATAGCAAAATCGAACACTTACCTTTTGAGGGCAGGAAAGAAACCTCCGACTAGGGTTTGCTGATGTCCAGGAGGTGCGAACCACCGCTTCCCTACCACAGAAACAGATCACCATTTTAATTTTTGATCTCTAAGAAATTGTGAACACAGAGTAGGAAGAGTATGAAGCTCGTGAAGTTGAAGAAGGAAAAGTGATGTAGCTCTACTTTTATTTTGAATAAGGTTGCAAAAAAGGTCCCTGTATGTGGAAAGACGAAAATACCCCGGTCTTTATTGCATGTAACGGAGTATATGGACGGAAGTGAATGGGAGGGACCAAAAACAATGGAAAAATCCAATTTTGGACCAGTGGTGCATCAAACTATCGTTTTGGACCAAAGTCGCATAATTTTGCGAAACACAGGGACCATTTTTGCAATTTACTCTGATGAGATACATATATGTGGGGTATATTAAGTTTTTATAAAAAATAAATACATAAATAAGAAAATTAATTAAAAAAATTAATAAGGAAAAAATAGTATTTTTAGATAAGACAGAGACCAAACGCGTAACAAAAATAAATAGTAGTGATCATCCGAGTTAAAAAAAATAAACAGTAGGGATCATCCAAGGAGATACAAATATGTGTGGTCTATTGATTTTTTTAAATATGTAAAAAATAAATACATAGATAAGAAAATCAATTAAAAAAATAAATTAATAAGGGCACAATAATATTTTTAGGTAAGATGGGGACCAAACGCGCAACAAAAATAAACAATAGGGACCATTTAAGTTAAAAAAATAAGTTAGCGACCAAAACCACAAATTCCCCCAAACCACAGGGACCATTCATGTAATTTAATTTTTAATTTTCGTTTTGTTCATATTTGGGTAATTATTTTTTTTGTACACATCGAGGTAACAAACTTGTTGAAAGCGTTTACATCTAGGATTTAACCTGCTATAGCAGGTCATAATGGTCATATGTGAACACTTCCAAAAAGTTTGTTACCTAGATATGTACAAGAAAAAGATAGTTACCCAGATGTGAACATACCAAAAAGTTAATTACCTTGATAAGTCATATTCCCAATTAATAAAACAAGAATATATTCAACTTAAAATTTGGGTTATTCCTTACTAAAGAGGTGGTACTATAAAGATAAAAAAATAAATAAATAAAGAACCGTACTTTTGTATACTTCAATTGTATTTTTCCGTTACGTATTAAAGAAAAAAAGAATAGAACATGATACCGAATCCAAAAGACTTTGTGAAAACAACATACAAATTACAATATAATTTTTTTTATCAGCTGTAAGTTTAAAACATTTATAATGTACACTATAAATCATGTATTTTTATAAATCATTACCAAAAATTCCATATTACATACAAGAACAATATATAGGAAACTTGGTAAATTACTTAAAGCGAAATAAATTACTATGAAGAGCCACTTTTAAAAATTTGAAAAATTAATAAACTTCATTGAATCATTGTTTACTTTTCTAGAAAAGGAAAAAGATTAATAATAAAAAATTAAAAGATAAACAAATGAAACCAATGTAAATAAGAATAAAAGGAAACCTCGCTTGTTCATGAATTTGTCATACATATATTCTTTTTCTTTGATATAAATAAGATAGTTTAACATCAATAACTGTTATAGAGAGAGAAAATATATGATGGAGCCACTACCTAAACACGAGTATTGTCATTCACTAAGCCTCGTAGATTTGCAGCTTGAATATGCTGAAGAGGAAGAAGAAGATGATGACCACGACAACGAAGACCACGACGATGAGGATGGTGATGAGGACCACGATGACGACCTCGATGATGATGGTGATGAGGATAGTTGTCTGATTACGAAAGAGGGCTTTCAAGGTGTATGTTACAGGTGTGGCCAAGAAATCCATATGTACGAGAGGTACTACTACAAATGTAAACATTCATCATGTGATGTCTCGCTTCACAAATTTTGTGGTGAGCTCTTGACAAGGTTAGAGCATGCATTACATCCACATCCTCTTTCCCTATGTTGGCCGAGGATTAATTGGAGATGCAATATTTGTAAGAGAGATCACAAGTGTCTAGAAATGTGTTACAAATGTTTGGAATGTGATTTCTCCATTGATGTAAAATGTGCCGTGGAAGAAGAAAAAAAGATCATCCATCATCCTAGCCACCCACACTTACTAATCTGTTTACTCCCTAAAGCCATTTTATGCGATTGTAGTGCTTGTGGGAAAATGCATGAAGGAATCTTTTATCAATGTACCACTTGTGTTGGCTTCTCCTTACATAATGATTGTGCTTTCCTACCAAAAAGATTGTTAATCAACGAGACCACAAAAGTTGCCTTTTATCATACTCATCCACTCACCATTTCATATTCCTTCCCCATGAACGATAAAATAGCCAAACATAATCCTAAATGCAGAGTATGTGGTCATGGTTTTGATGATATGGAGAATCTTTGGATTTACAAATGTGACAAATGTATGTACTATGCACATGTGCGTTGTGTGACATCAAGAAGAGAGTCGTTCTTGCGTGCTGGTAAGTAACTCCTTTGATGATTTCCTCCGTTTCATTATATTCACTGATACGTGAACGAATATTAATTATCGTTTAGCTTTATTTGAGATATACTAACCAACTTTGTTTGTACCATTTCCAATTTATCAGGCCTCAACAAAACCGTCGAAAATTTTAAAGATGATGACCACCCTCATCTTCTTCATCTCCCATTCCCTGATGAAACATATAGTGTACCAAAACAAATTTTTTTCAAAGAAAGTGGAAGAAGTGTGGAGGTAATCCTAAAACACACGAGTCATCAACACCCTCTAGTTCTAATTGATCAGACACAATTAAATGAGAAAACCTCCTCAGAGATTAATTCTTTGCTATTAATGTGTCATAACCCAATGACAAAGACCAAACTGATATGCAACGGATGTATGAGACCAGTCATGTCGACCATGCCCTTTTACAGGTGCCCTGAATGTTGCAACTTTGTTCTCCATGAGTGGTGCACTCGACTGCCATCGCAAATAGAAAACCATCCAGGTCACCCACAACATACACTTCTTCTCATCTACTCAAACATCCTTCCTTGCTTTTTTGGTGTGTTCGTTTGTGCTGTCTGTCATCTACCTTGCAATGGATTTGCATATTGTTGTGTAAAATGCAAATACTATGTTGATGTTACTTGTGGGTTTATACCTAAAAAAATCACACATAAATCTCACCCAAATCACCTGCTTTCATTAGTTCAAAACCCTTCAGGTGGTTGTCATATGTGTCTCAAAGATGTTGATAGTCATCAACTTTCATTCAACTGCAATGTTTGTGAAATTTATATCCATCCTGAATGTGCTCTGTTATTCTCCAAGATGATTTGGCACAGCTATGACAAGCATCCCATGCAACTAAGTTACCTCCCGATTGAGAACCATAAGAGTGAATACTTTTGTGAAATTTGTGAGTTTTATTTGAATCCTCATGAATCTTTCTATCACTGTCAACATTGTCGTCAGTCTATACATACTGCTTGTGCCCCTCTAATACTTGAGAGTGAAACACATACCTATATGTACAATTTAAGAAGCGTTTATAATTTTGTTAATATAAAGTTTGGGGACATTTATAGCAGTGGTGGCCACACACATCCTCTCTCATTTGCTCAAGGAACTGCCTTAGATGATCTGTGTAACATATGTGGTAGGAAATTACAATACAAAATTATATTTAAATGTCACGACTGTAAGGAGGATAAGTTTGCCATTGATTATAACTGTTGTGAGAATGTGAAGAGGGCATTAAGTTCATTCGTTTCCCTCGACATGCTTGATTTGTAATTATCAATACTTTTTCATGTATATGTTCCCCTGTTTTATTTGTAACATCGATACAATAAGAATTGAATTCAATACCTACATTTAACTCTTGCATTCTTTTCTTTCATGCAAAGTAATTCATACTCTTTACTATTAATTAATGCTAGCTAGTTAGTATTTATACTCTTTATTATTAAAACATCTATACCACCACCACATGAAGACCACTGGGTCACATTAAAAAATACATATGTGTTTACAACAAAAACTCAATGAATATAATTAAAGTCATAGGTTGTAACAACCCTAAATCAAAACTTGTTTATTATCTGAACTAATGTAATTATATAAACCGAAAATTGATCAAAAATAGGATTCATATGCACTTAACCCATTGTAATGTTTAACATATACTATTAAGAAGTAGGAAGTAATATATATATATATATATATATATATATATATATATATATATATATATATATATATATATGGGAAAAGTGAATATACCCTTAAAGATATATAAGATTAGGTATCCAAATTATCAAAACTACGTGGTTTTTGTTAAATGGTTTAATTTTCTGAAAATAAAATTAAAAAAAATCGATTTCCATATGTGTTTCCTTATTCACTGGCGAATTCAATTGGTGATTTTTTTTTTGTTCTATGATCGGCTCTGCTTCACAATCCCTGAGATTTTGACCACACCTTTGATTGTTATATAGCAATAACAATAAATCCTTGGCTTTAGAAAACTTAGTGCCTCAAGTGTTGCACTTCTAATGGAGTCACAAACACCACTAAACAACTAGGATGAAGAGGGAGGAAAGTGGAGGCACCAAAAACGGATGGAAACCCTAAAGGAAGGATTCACCACGTTTTTGGGGCCATAAGGGTTCCTTATATATGTTGGCTATTAGGGTTTACAGCTAGGAAACCCTAATCTGATTGCTTAAGCCCTAAGCAACACATGGACTCCCACTTTAGAAGCCTTGGACGATTTCTAATGGGTTTCCCATTAGATTTCGTCCACTCCAAACTTCTATGGAGTCTGTTATCCCATCTATGTAATTATCTTATAATTACACAATAAGTCCCTTAAGTTTAATTAATCTATTTTAGCCACAAAATTAATTTTTAATTAATTCTCGACTAATATTAATTAAACATTATGATTTCTTCATTAATATATTATTCTTATAATATATTAATAAATCTTAATTAAACTTTTCTCTCCTTAATTCATCCTACATATTGCTATGGTGAGGGCAACCCAAAAGAACCATGCTCATAATCGGGTCAAGTACATACCAAACTAGTTATGGACTTATACACTAATCCAACATCAACATCAACATCAATCAATCTCATTCAAAATTAATCGCAATAAAACAAAAGAACCACAAAAGCTCCACCACACTCAACTCAATGAATACCACAAAAGGGTATTCATGTCTTTTTGCACAAACAAGATTCCCCGCCCTCTATTCTACATTTTTGGGTGGGATAAAAGTTGATAATTCTGTCTCATTGTCATCAGTCGTATTCTATTATAAGTTCAAGCCAAATGCACAACAAACACAGTAGAACCTGTATAATGGATTCTACATTTCTACTTCGCCTTTTCAGAAAAAAAAAATACCTGTGAGTGAGAAGAGCATCATCGGTAGAGAGTTTGAGGTCATCTTTGGTGTTACCATGGAGGGCCTGTAAAAGCGAAAAAAAAAATAGTTTGATTAGAAAAATTAAGAAAATAATTAAAATGAGAAAAAACAATGATATTACATTCATCACAATTATGGGATGATGGAACAATATCTTCAAGCTTTTTCCCATTAAAAATGTCAATTGCAACAAAGTGACACTTGGCATGACCGTGTTTGCCGGTATTGGAGGTGGAAACTTCCACAACCAAGTACCATGTAAGATTTCACAATATAATAGTGATTAATAATTTAATATGTCTTCAATATATAAATTTATAAATAAATAATATGTCTGAATTGTGATAGTAAAGAAAAATAGGCAATTTAAGTAAGGGGCCCATCTATAAACATTTGAAAGGCTCATGGATAATGGAGATAGGTTGTAAAAGAAAAGGGTTATGGAATATGGATTGCTATGTGGTACAATTATAAAAAAGAAGCTTATGTATGATGTATATGGACACAAGACACGTACATATGCTGGTAATACAAGTATGTCAAATCCCAAAAGCAAACAAAAATCTAAGCCTATAGCAAGAACAACAAAAAAATCGAAAATGCAACAAGAATCCTGAAAGAACTTACATTCGCAATCATAGAACATCACATAATAAAATTTCTATTATGCAAAATCAAGACATTCAAACTTGTTTCACATAGCATGAATGTCTTGGTTTTTGTACATATGCAAAAGGGTTAGGCTCATGAATGTCTTGGTTTTTGTTACACAAGACACGTCTGTTTCGGGGTCTAATCCACCCCTACTGCTGCTATCACATATATCATAACATAAACATACTATCAGACATATCTGGGGTGTCTGAACTACCCTTCGGACCTAACAACCGAACTCTACTACTATCACATATAATATATCATGCCAGCATATAACATATCAGGTAGCAGCAAACCTAGATGATATCACAAAGACAATCATCTAACATACAACTCCTACTGGTGAACCGGCATTGTGGCCGTAGACCCACCGCTACTGGAAGGTAACTCACCTCGTAGTAGCTGCTGATCTGTGCGGGAATCCTCTGACTGCTACCGCTGCTGCTCCGGAAATCCTTCGGCTATAATTCCCACAAAACACTTAGTCATACACTGCTAACTATTCTTATGGTAAAATAACCATTTTACCCCTGACCAAATCAAAGTCAAATTCAACTTCTAGTTGACCTGACTCGCCGAGTTGGCTCGCCAACTCGCCGAGTCCCTATCCTTCCATTTGTCCTTATACCCGTCTCTACTCGTTGAGTTAGGTGATGACTCGACGAGTTTTCCTTCTTAATGAACATCGACTGAATCCTCATCCGACTCGCCGAGTTGTATGAACAACTCGTCGATTTCACCTTCAACTGATACACAAGTCCTGTCCTTGACTCGCCGAGTTGTATGAACAACTCGTTGAGTTCATCTTCATCCTTAAGAAGATTGCCTTGGACTCGCCGAGTCTGCTCAAGCACTCGCCGAGTCCCATGAACTTCCAGAACAATGGCTTAGTCCAGAACGTTGGGTCACTTCCCGGGACCCCCTAAAACCTTTCCACACTCAACTGGGTCCTTATGACTCTCAATTGATATGGGTCAGAAACCTTGGACTCGCCGAGTCCAAGAGTGGACTCGTCGAGTCGGTCACATCCTCTCACTAAATCTTCGATTTCTAATGTACAACCCTTGATCAAAAGATAGATCTATACTTCTACAATCGATCTAGCACGTAAAGTTACAACCTTTACGTGCTTTCATGGGACTTTGAGCTCAAAAGGTCCTAAAACAACCTCTTACAATGCATGGGGCCTTCTTTGAGTGCAAGAGCCACTCCTTTCTGCCTTGTAACCCCTCTAAGGGACAAGATCTGAAACATCAACCCCTAACCATGTTTGTAATCATGGTTGGTGGCCAAAATGGCTTAGAAAATCCCTAAAACTCCACAAAACAGGATCTATCAAAAGAACAAACAAGGTATAGACTTTATACCTTTTATAGAATGAAAATGATGCTCAAAACAGGATCCTTCTAGCCTCCTCTTGATCCTTCAAGCTTTTCCTTCCTTCCTTGGGTCACAAAAGCACCAAAATCACTCAAAATGCCTTAGATTGCTTCAATAACGGCTAGGGTTTCCTATGGGGGTCTTTTGGGAGCGAATAGGACGAAGGAGGCCGAGTTAAGGTGTTTAAATAAGGTGCAAACCCTCGGGTTAGGGTTTTTGTCTAGATAGGGCCTACTCGCCGAGTCTAGGTGCTTCAAATCTCCCCCACTTATTTTAGACTTCATCCTCGAAGTCTGCTGCTCGATCCTGAAACAGCTCGGGGTAATGCTCCATCATCTCGTCTGCCGGCTCCCAAGTCCACTCTGACCCCTTCAGGTGCTACCATTGCACCTTCACGAGTTCCACTCTTTCGTTCCTCAAATCCTTCGACTTCCTGTCGAGGATTGCCACCGGTCGCTCAATGTAGTTCAGGCTGTCATCAACGTGTATGTCCTCCAAGGGTACCACTGCTGAGGCGTCCACCAGGCACTTTCGTAGCTGAGAAACATGGAGAGTGTTGTGTATCTGACTGAGTTCGGCTGGCAAATCCAACCTATACGCCACCTTGTCCACTCGGGCTATAACCCTGAATGGTCTAATGTACCTGGGCCCCAACTTGCCCCGCTTCCTGAATCGGATAACGTCTTTCCATGGCGACACCTTCAAGAGAACCATATCCCCGACCTGGAACTCCAGGTATGATCGGCGCTTATCGACATAGCTTTTCTGTTGACTCTGAGCAGTCTGAAGCCTGCTCCAGATCTGCTGAATCTTTTCTGTCGTCTTGAGCACTACCACAACGCTCCCCATTACCCTCTTACCAACCTCTCCCCAACATATCGGGGTCCTACACTTCCTCCCATATAGCATCTCGAAGGTAGGACGATCAATGCTCACATGATAACTATTGTTATAGGAGAACTCTACCAATGGAAGGTAGGTATCCCAACTACCTCCGAAGTCTAATACGCATGCTTGCAACATATCTTCCAGCGTCTGGATGGTCCGCTCGCTCTAACCATCTACCTGCAGGTGAAAGGCAGGGCTAAAAACGAGTACCCAGCTCGTCATGAAACTTCCTCCAAAACCTGGAAGTGAATCGTACATCCCTATCTGAAATCACAGAAACTGGCACACCATGCCGCGCCACCACCTCCCGGATATAGACATCGGCCAACTTCTCGGCCGAGATGCTCTCCTGAATCGAGATAAAATGGGCGCTCTTGGTCAATCGATCGATGATGACCCAGATCGAATCCACTCCCCATGCGGTCCTGGGAA